GAAGGCCAACAGGTCAATTGGTAATGACAAACGGGTTACTACAAACGTTTTAGTGTGTTTTAGACTAAACGTGGTGAAATTGTGTTTAGTTTTATAACTTTTCGATATATATATATTATATTGTTTATACCATTTTCAGCTTCATTTGAGGGTTGGATTTTATGCACACAGTGCCAAAAGTGGGTTCACAATTCGTGTGCATGGAAAGAGAGTGATGATGACGATGCAGAACTTGTCTGTGAATTGTGTTAGCCCGATAACCCCATTCTGCCCCGTAGGCGGAGGGGAATGGAGTAAAGGACACTTTTTTTAATACGACAATAAAAAAATTGAGTTTAGGTTAATTTTTTTTGTATTTTGTTTATAATACTTTAATAAATCGTTCTGCTTTTTTTTTGAATTTATACCACGTCTCTACCCTACTAAAAATAATTTTTCGCCATTCCGCCCCGGTATCCCCTACTGTATTTTAAAAACATATTTAATTACTTACTATTACAAAATAATTCCAACCAAGTTTATTTTCCGCTATCCTGTATTATAGAAATAAAGACAAACTAATAATAGGGCTCTACTAATACTAATATTATTACAGTAAATCTAAAATATTCGCATGAAAAACCTATTTGTTTAAGATTTAAGAATATTGGAGCGAGTTCGTTGCTTATATAAACAGGGGGCGAATTTTGAGAACGTAAGAAAAGGAAAGTAAACAAATAGGATAGCTGGTCATCGGTTAAGTAATTGAGATCCGGAAACTGCGGAACGTACGAGAGCTTCAGCCGGTAATTATTACATGATTATTTGCTTGCTCAAATCGTCAATAAACAGTAGTGCTTTCAAAACCGAACTTTTTATTTGCGGACCGCATACGCCCGATTTTCATTTACGTAATGCCAAACGCTGTGCGATGGTTACTTTAAAAGCTTTTTCGGTTCGATGAGTCCATCCCCTGTTTGCTGCATGCGTGTATGATATAGAATGAGTATGGTTTTATTATTTTAAAACTTTTAATGAATACACATTAGTTATAATTGTTTAAATGGAAAATACTAATTAGAAAAATTCTTTGATTGATTTTAAAATTAAGTCTGTGAATGTGGATACTTTCTTCTAATAGAGAAATAATTATATAACGTTGCTCTCCTATTTAAAATACAAAGTTTTTTACAATCCAAGTAAAGGTAAATATAAACAAAATACCCCAAAAAAATTTTTTCTCTGCTACTTTTTTTTTAAGTTGTGCTAAAATTAGGACATGAGAACGTGAGAAAATGGACAAAAATTTAGTCAAGTAGATACAAAAAATTGTAGAAAACGACGTACTAAATTTAGTACGCCATAAGCGAAAGGGTTAAAAGCGACGTTCTTCATCCCATCTCTTTAAAGTAACAAATTAGTAATATTTCTGTAATTTAGGCTCTGTATTCTTAAAATAACAATAATAACAACTTTAAGATAAAGTTCATACAAAAATCAAAGACATTAATTAAAAAACGGAAACATATACATATTCTGCAGAATAAAACAATGACGTTATTTTAGGATTTAGGATTCAGAAATAAAAATAATACGTACAAGAACAATCGACCGAACGAACACACAACGTCAAACCTAAGAGAGTAATATAAATGAATCTGGTCCAGCTATTACAAAAAATTAAGTTATCTATGCAATAAAATCTCCAAAAGAGCGCAATTAGGAAAGTTTAAACTGTAAGGATTTTTTATTTCTCTTTTAAGATTAGGACAATCACGTTCAAACACTTGAAGAAGTAAGTCGTATCGTATCGAGTCCGCTTAGAACATACAAGCCAAAACCCACAATTAATTACTTATAAAGTGCAAATAAGCTAAAGTGTAACAACTACATTGATTAATGACCACCCTACGGTCAATTAAGTGTTTAAGGGAAAAGTGACAGCTAACCGGGCGGTCTAACCACCTGTCAATTGGATGCTCGAGACAAACAAAAGAGGCTAACCAAGGGAAGAAAGGGCCATCTGCAAAATCTGATAAGTAATCTTAGTTAACTGCATGACCTTATTCATAATTTGCCACACTAACCATAACAGCTACCTTTAAAAACCCTAAGTGAGGCACTTTTCGCGTAAAAAAATAAACAAATTGCAACAGTAACATTAGTAAGACAATAGTAACAAAAAAACAAAAAAAGTTTTCCCAATTCTTACCGCGGTCATTCACGGAAAAGCTGAGTAGGACAATAAATCTATCAATAACAAACGAGTAAGTCAATAAACCCATTTAAACTAACGAGACCAAAAAAATGACACTTCTAAACCAATATACAATAAATTAAGAAAACCTAATCACTAAAAATAAAAAAACACAATCCGAATTCTAACAAATTTGGAAAACAAAATAGAATATACAGTAGAAGTTAAAAGAATACCGCCCACCGGTACATTCAGTTTGCAGCATTTGAGCAGTGCAATGCCGAGTTCTTAGAGCCTTAAAAAACGATCATCAACAGCTGTCGTCGTAATTCTTCCACATCCTTGTCCCTCCCTACCTTCTTGAATACTTCCCACTCCCTCTGTACCGCTGAACCACTCTTAAAATGGTTCTTTTTTGAACGTTCAACAAATAAGCTACGTATCTTTGACTTCGGCCATCTTCAATTCAGGCAATAACGTTTGGGAACATCCATTGTATACAAAATTAGTAAGATATTCAAATTAGCGTTGATATAAAGAGGAAACTACAGAAATAAACTATTCGCTGCAAATAAAAATCATCACCGTTTAACAGATATGATAAACAAATTAAAAAAAAAAATGATTTTTTTTGGGACTAAAATGTCACTAAAGCAATTTTTACTTATAAAATATACAAGAAACTGTTAGTGTGCCCGAAATTTAAAAAAATATGGTGATGGGATAATTTTTGTTTTAATCAGAAAAAACTTTTATAATGCAATTTTTTCCTACTGCAAACCAATGTACTTCTTGTTCCTTAATAAGTTTAAATAACAAAAGTATTGAACAGGTAACCAATTTTAAGCTTCTTGGCATAACAATTAACTTGTCATTAAAATTCTACCAGCATGTTGACATTGTTTGTAAAACGTTATCAGGTTATTGTTTTGCTTTAAAACGTCTTAATCAAATAGTGAGTAGAGATGCAGCCTTACGTTTTTCTCATTTTAATTTTGAGTCGTCTTTACTATATGGTGTTAATTTATGGGGAAATAGTAAATCGTCTGTTTCGATTGCAAAAAAGAGCAATAAGATGTATTTTTGGTTTATGTACAACTGAATCCTGGAGACCTTTTTTAAGAAAAATAAGATTGAGTTTTCCTTCCCTATTTATTTTTGAAATATTATCTTTTGTTCATAATAACATAAGTCAATTTAGATCATTAAAGCATGCATATAACACACGTTTTAGTCATAATTTAGAACATGGTATTCATAATTTAACTATAGCATTCGCAAGTTGCAATCATCACGTGAAATAAACAACATTCTAATTGAATGTTGTTTTTACGATTTAAATGAGTATTTAAAGTTTAATTTTTAGTTTTAGAATAGGAATTTAATTTGCATTTCTCTTTTTATTTTTTTTTATTTTACCATTTTTAATGTGCTTTCAACAGGCACCAGGCCCAATTACAGAAATACACAATGACAAACACAAATTTATTTTCTTTATAATTATTAATTTGTTTTTTATGACTTGTCCTATATCCGTGAATGTCTTTGGATAAATATATGATTTATTATTTATTAGAGAGACCCTATAGTGCGTACATAGACCATTACAAGCCTAGTTAAGACACAGTAGCTATAAATAAAATAGCTCCCTCGTGACTTACTTAGTGATTTTTACTTGTACCAAATTTTCACCGCAAACCCTTGTAAAAAATGTGTTAGTCCGTAGTTTCCACAATTTAACAATTTTTTTGAGTTTTTAATTTAAAAGACAATTAAAATATTGTTTTGGTTTTAAGTTATTTAAAAAAATATTTACTTATTAGTGAAAATTCGTTAAGGGATCCCTTGATTTTTCACCACGCGAAAATCATTATTGTTTGTCCGCATAGAGAGGTTTTCCAAAATTAATTTTTTTGGGGCGAATTTTTACTCCAAAATATAAATAAACGGATAATAAATTTGTAGGCCAGGGGCCTGTTTCACGAAAGTAACAAAGTCACCAGTAAAATCTAACCAATCTGTAATAAATCATAAGTACTAGTGTTTCACAAACACAAAGTCACAAGACACCCAGCGAATTTCCACTACTTACAAGTAACGTTTTTATAGAATTACTCTTGTAGTTTTAGGTATTTGTAAAATCAATTTATTTGTGTAATTGTGTTGTCAAATATTAAAAATTATAATGTGGGAATCACCATCCTCTGAAGATGAATTACTTGAACAACCTCGCCGTCATCGAAGACCTCGGACGTTTAGGTTAAGAACAAATTTAAATTTTGTCACCTTTTACGAGTTCAATGGGAGATTTCGAATGTCATCAGTCAGCATAATCTGTGGTCAGCATTAAATCTCTTCTTGCAGACAAAGGGCACCTACTTCAACATGCTGCAAGAAGAAGTGAGGCTCTATCAGTATTAATGATGCCCGAGTTTACAGAAACAGTATACTGCATCGCCGTTTTCAAGATGGTTTGATACCTATTCCTGATGGCTTTATACTGGGCGATTCTGCCTATAAATTAAAAGAATGGCTGATCCCTCCAACGAACCGTAATCTTGGTGACCCTGCAGTCATTCGATTAAATTTTTTTACAATTGTGAAAATATTTTAACTATTGTTAAACAATTTTGCGAAACACCTGTACTTGTAGATTTCTTATTTCAAGTACCTGTAATAGTAAAATTGTGACTATTTAACTTGTAATTTTCGTGAAACGGGCCCCAGGTATCATGCCGTCAATCATATAATCTTAAAGTTCTAGTGTATAGTTGCAGTTCAATCAAAGTGATATTTTTTTAATTTCAAACAGTTAAACAGCAATAATAAATGGAAAAAAACATATTTTTATTATAAATAATTAAATCTGCACAAAGTCTAAACATTTTATCGCACTTTTTGCCATATCCATGGAAGAAAGCTTGAAACTCTCGTGTAAACTGCAGGCCAATTTTCTTCACCGCACGCTGCACCAAACGATACAATTCCTTCTGCGTACCATTGGGAAGTATCGTTTTTAGCCTTAGCCATTAAAGGACCGCCGCTGTCTCCCTTACAGGAATCCTTTAGCTTGACTCCTCCGGCACACAGTTGCGATTCCTGAATTTGCAGATTGTAGGCGCTGAACTTTCGTGCGCAATTTCGGTTGTCAACCACTGGTACCTCGACTTTTAATTTGGAACTGCTGCTTCTTGCAGACTCTGTTTGTCCCCAACCAGCCACTACTAACCTGGTGCCAGTGGTGGAGTGTTCATTAGGCTCAGGGAGGCAAATTGGTTTAACAAACTCTATAAATGAATAAAATGTTATTAAATTAGAATAAAACAAAAAATTACTAATTTTCCCCAGTAAACATATAAAATAGAGTTATATGTGTTATTTGGAGCTTTAACAAATATCTATTAATATTTTTTTATACTTCTTTTTAATAAATTAGGTATTATATATAATATTCTAATTATAATAATTATTATAATTATTAGGTAATAATGTTATTGTGTGTATATTGTACAATTACCCTTTAACATTAGGTTTACATAAAATAGGTAATCAATGATAACACTGCTTTACAAATTAATAAAAAAGAAATGTACATTTGTTGCCACTATTTCTTTCTAATGTATTTTGGCCCGATAATAATAACAATACTTTTTTTATGACAAGGTTTTCGAGATATTTTTTTTGCTTGTTTTTTGAAGGTAGCTTTACAATTTGGGTCACATCACCAGTTAGAAACGGTCAATCTGGTTGCGAAAGGTGTCAAATTAAACATAATCTAATCCCCGACAAATATCGCTACCTTAATGCCCAATCAGTAAAGTGCAATGGGCTCAAATATTGAAAAACATTTTTTTTAAAGAATGCAATATTTACCTTTTGTCCAAGAATGAATAAAATTGCAGTTTTAGTAAAAAAAGGAATTCAGGAAAAAAGCTATGGATAAATGACAAAGTTATGACAGTTTATGTACTATGCTCTACACATCAAATTCACAACGTAACTTTGTACTAAACGCATTTTTTTAATAATTTGGCATTTGACGCAATTTGGGTTATGTTTCTGTCAAAGTATAGGGTATAACCCAGGTAGCACACTGACGTTAGCAACGTCATTTCAACGTCATATAAACGTCAGCAGACGGGAAGGTTTTTGGTTCAAATTTTAAATTTCATATATATGGCATATCACATATATCACATATGTGATGTCGCGGTTACCAATAAGCTATTTTCTTAGGTAGACGATACTGTTTTTGTAACTGTATTGTTTTAGATAACTCAGTAGGGAAAAATTCAAATAATTTACCACTATTAACTTTGTACGAAACGCAATCTTTTAATAATTTTGCATTTGAGGCAATTTGGGTTATGTTTCTGTCAAAGTATAGGGTATAAGGTTTTTGGTTCCAATTTTAAATTTCACTATGTGATGTCGCGGTTACCAATAAGCTATTTTCTTAGGTAGACGATACTGTTTTTGTAACTGTGTTGTTTTAGATAACTTAGTAGGGAAAAATTCAAATAATTTACCAATATTTTTGGACTTTCACTTTATTCATAGCCTATGAATCATAGGTTATAGAATAGATTTAGTTTATTTATATTGTAGTTTTTTATGATAGCAGTTTATTATAAATAGTTTTATCTTTTTGATCATCTTCTGTTTTTTTCGTTATCTGATTTTTTTATTAGGAACAAAATATAATTTCCCACCATTCGTTTATCCAAAAATATATGAAGCGCGGCTTAATGGACTTGATTTCTTGATGAAATCTTCCACCATATCGTCACTCTGGTTACTAAGATTTTTCGAAATAAAAAAGTTTAAATGCAATAAATGAATTCTCAGGGATATAAAACAAATATTTATTTATTCGTCTAAATTAATGTTGTCGCCTTCAAAATAGTCCCCATTGGATTTTATGCACATGTACCAGCTCTTTTTCCAATACTCGAAACACTTCTAAAACTCGATCTTTGGGATAGCCTTTAGTTCTTTCAGCGATGCGCTTTTAATGTCATCTATGCTTGCAAAACGACGGCCCTTTAAGGTTCTCTTTATTTTTGGGAATAGGAAAAAGTCAGACAGAGGCATGTCTGGCGAATATGGAGGCTGGGGCGTTTCATACCCAAAACATTCGAAAAAATTTCATGGGATGAGCCAATCGATATATTAACATCATCAGCGACTTCTTTGATGGTTTATAACCATTTCTTCCACTTTTTACATGTTTTTATCGGTTGTTAATGTGCTTGTTCGTCATCTTCAACGTCTTCACGGCCATCTTGGAAACTCTTATACCACTTGTAAACTCTTGTTTTACTTATAGGCCTTTGTTAGCATTTCACAGAATTTATTTAATTCTTTGATCCATTTCTTTTAACGAACCGAGCCGAGCCGAGCTCATAAAACTCTTCTAACCTTAGCGGCTGTCACAGAATAAGTAAACAATGAAAACAGCTAAAGTTTTTATCATACAACCAACATAATTTTGAAAATTTTATGACAACCGGACCTTCCGAACCCGCGTAACAATTCCCGTTATTTTCTGAACACACCTCGTTTTAACGAATGTTAATAAGTAATTTTAGGTATGTAGCAAAAATGTTATGCAAAAGAATAGTACAAATACCAATTTTTGCAAAAGTATTCAGCAAATCTTCGACGATTATTAAATCCAAAAAAGAAAAGATAATTGTTAATAAGTTGAACAGTAGACGGGAACATTTTCACCTAATTTGTTATCTGACACAATACAATAAATGAAAACAGTTTTATCAACTTAAGAAATTGCTATATTGACTACACTGACATCACATCATCAAAATTAAAATTTAAATAATCAAATCTCAATAATTTTAGTAATATCAATGACAAAAATGTTTTTTTTAATTGGATTGTAAATTCATTGCATTAAACTACAGTATACCCAATAAATAAAGTAAAAGTCCAAAAATAAACAAAAAATTGAATTTTGGTTCTTATCAATAGTTTTTTTTCATAAATTCTTTTATTTGTTCTTGGCAAAATTTAAATTTTGCATTCTTATTTTTGCCCAAAAAATCAATAATATTCTAATAACTAATTGGGAATTATATATTATATTCTGCCGTACTTTGGTAGAACATAGTTACTACTCTCTAAAAATGACGACATTTTCGGATTCAGGGGAGAATTTTACATAAGAATTGGCTGTTAAATTTTGGGATACCATGGTATCCCTTGGTTAACCATGGTCCAAGTGAAAAAGCAGCCACTAATAACTTTTATTTAAAAGTTATTAGTGGCTGCTTTTTCACTTGGACCATGGTTAACCAAGGGATACCATGGTATCCCAAAATTTAACAGCCAATTCTTATGTAAAATTAGTCATTTTTGACTAATTCATTTTTAGAGAGTAGGTTTTAAAAAATTGCTGCATTTTTGGATTCAGCGTTCAAATTAACCTCTAGTAACTATTTTTTTATCTCTTTTTATATTACGGTGGCTCTAAAATGTCTATCTCTATTTTTAGTAACTTCTAAAAACTGTTAGGTATCCTAAAGCAAAATATTGCAAATAAAGTTACTATCAAAAATGTTCCTTTTTTTTTTAAACTTCATCCAGTAAAAGCTAGTACCTAACTCAAGTTGTTAGGATTAACGCAAAGTGTAATGGTAATAATAAAGCTACTGCTCTTGGCGGGAGTATTTTAAAGTTATTAAATAATTAATATTAAGCTTTACGTATATATTTCAGCAACTCGAATGCTGATGTTTTAATAAGTTAATTTGTGCGTATTTTAATGAACATAGAACTTTTTATGCTACTATTTGCTGAATTATGATTTACGTAATTTGCAAACTTCCGAATAAATAAATAAAAATCTGTTTTTAATAAATCGGTGTGTGTTACTTGTAATAACGGTGTTTTATTATTAAGAAAGTTTTAAATATGTCCAGAAAAACAAATTTGAAGTTAAGCTCCCAGTAGCACCGTATTTGGAACCATTGGGGTTAAAAACTAGGAACAATGTTAAAGACTCTTTGCCCCTTATTTAGAGATTAAAGAAAACAATTATTCTGGATTTACTTACCATAATATGTTTAATTTTACTTAATATAATATGGATTTTTTGAATTGTATTTTCACTAAATAAAATGGTAAAAAAACCTAAATAAATATTTATTTTAACTTATAGTCGATTTACTATATTTTACTCAATCATATTAGAAAGATTTAAAAAATACAGTAACTAGCAATTGATATGGACAGCTTTTGCATAATTACTTATAAACAAATTAACAAAATATTTGTAAACAAATTACTTATTTTTTTTGATAATTTTTGGAATTGATAATTAGATATTTTAAGTATTTTGTTCCAAAGAAAGGCTATGCAATTTTAGAAAATACACTGTCCTGAAAAGTTACAAAATCATAGTTACTAAGTTTTGCAAAGTACGGCAGTATTGGTAGGCGATTCGGGTCGGCGATTCGATTATGTTTAGTTTTACATCTTGTGCAACTAGGTTGGCCGTTTCTAACTCGAGAAATGTCTCAAATTGTAAATGTAAAACCAATAAAAAACAAAAAAAAATTTATTGTGATTTTTAAGTTTAGCGGGCCAAAATACATTAGAAAAAAATAGTGGCATCGAATGTACGTTTTTTCTGTAAACCTGTGATATTAATTATATCTTAAGCAAAAATAATAATCAAAAATATCATCGTATCTTTACTTACAATTACATAGTAGTTCTCTTATAAGCTCTATAGAGCTGACAAGAATTACGCAATGTTATTGGATATTGACAATGTCAATTTGACATACAGTACACTGGAAACTTCCAGCTCGTCCGTAAAGATTAATTTATAAAGCTTGATACGTAAATAACTATTATAATATCATTGTGATAATGGTTGGGTTGTAAAAATACGAAAATTGCAAATACCTTCATCGTTTTTTTTATGTTTAATGTTTTTAGTCATATAAAACATAAATATTTTTAAGCTTTTAAAGTTTGCTTTTTAATAATTATTAAGAATAAGCCATAAACAAGTTTATATACTTCTATTGCATAATATGGTTTATAAGGATAATATCCCCTTTGTTAGGCGCGGCGCGCGGGGATAAATTACTAAATAATTATTATTGTTAGATAGGTAGATATTTTGTATACCTACTAGAAACGTTTATTATCACAAAAATATATGTAACAAAATATTAACACGATTGCTATTGTAGACACATGCGTAGGGACACGACTAATGGCTAGTCGCTAGTCGCTAATTACTATTAAATACGTATTAATAGAAGCATAGTGTCCATGTACATCAAGTTGGTTAGCAGAAAAGTGTCCCTCTAAGACTTAGAGTCTAAGTGATATATTTTAAGGTTAAATATATATAGGTTGTTATCTCACGAAAAACGTCATGTCTGCTAAAGCAGACAGTAGCTTCATTATGAAGCCTTCATAACGGCCAATGTAAGAGGTTATGTAGTAACATAACCTCTTACATTGGCCGTTATGAAGCTACTGTCTGCTTGTTATCTCACGAAAAACGTCATGTCTGCTACTACATAACCTCTTACATTGGCCGTTATGAAGCTACTGTCTGCTTTAGCAGACATGACGTTTTTCGTGAGATAACAACCCTAAACGTCGATTTTATTTAGTTCTTCTTTTTTACCTTTTAAAAGTTATTTTAAGTTGTTTTTTTGAGATTTGTACTCTTGGTAATAACTTTATATTTTTAATTCCTAATGTTCACTTTTTACAAGCCAACAAAAATTTTACAAGTTTTTGCCAAAACTAACTTTGATTTTTGCAATTTATATTGATGAACTTACAATTGTAACTTGGTATACGGCCGCCCTCTCGAAATACACCGCGGTTTAATATGGTTCTATCTGCCATTGTCTCAAAAATGAAATTTTTGCATAATAGGTTCTATGTACAATATAGAAATCTTTTTATGCAAAAATCACATTTTCGAGAAAATGGCTGATAGAACCATATTAAACCCACAATCCACACAATTGGATTGTGGTTAAACCAAGGTAGCGTTATACTACATAGGTACATAAGTAATATCGAATATAACTAACAACAAACTTAAATACAAAAGGTTTAAAAATTAAGCCAAAGTAAAAAATACAAATTTGGAAAAAACCCAACAACTAGTGGAAAAAATTAAAGGATCAAAAATGTATTCCAAATTTTTATCGATTTTTCAAATGACTGTATTTTTTTTTAAAATGGCCGTATCGAAGTTTAAAAAAATCAATTTAAATTTTTAAGTCTCTAATTTTTGGGCGAACAATTTTTTCAAGCAACAAGTATCGCGCAATCCTAATGAATATCGTGAAGAAAAATTTTCAATTTTTTGTTTTTTTATTTTCTGTGTACGGACTTTATTTTTTTTAACTAAACCACCATATGGATCGGATAGGTTTTTTATCCAGCTTTAATTTGTTTTTTTTTGTATGCCTTGATACGATCATATCTCGCTGAGCTATCGGCCTTTAAATGGAAAAGGATCATTTGAATTTAAATTTAAATTGAATTTTTTTGTTTGTAGGAGTGAATAAAATCAGTGATCGTCCATGAAATTAGTAGTAAAATTTGTTCAAGAAATTTGGATTATTTAAAGCTCCACACACAAACCTACCTATTCGCAATAAAAAAATGATATTTTATATTTACCTGTAAATTGAACATCTGTTTTCAATCGAACTAAACCAATATCATTAGTTCTTTTAACAGGATCATAATTTGAATGAGCTTCATAATGTTCGACTTCAACATCTAAATGTAAATCGTTACAACTTTCATAACCCCTTATTTGAATACAATCAGGATTAGTGTCGGTATTATGTTCTCCAAGTCTTACATTCACCCTATAAACAAATGATTTTAATTATTACATATGTATTATTGCTTATGTTCACACTGTAGTAAATGGGGTGGGGACATGCACTTTTTGTATTGCATATTTGGAATCTACGCACATCAAATTAATAATTATGCTTGATTGTTTTAGTTATTTATTTTTCTCTAATCACCCGACTGTAGAAAAAACGTAATTACATGCAATTTTACTGATAAACAATTAAAAATCATCATTTATAAAACGTTTGTTACGAAAATCCTGAAAATTTCATAAAATGTCAATGTAAACACTTTATATCTCAACAAATATCAATCTTAGCGATTTAACTAATAAGACGTTCTTAAAGAAAATTAAATTTTCTTCAAGTTTGCTTTTTTAAATTTTTTCAAAGAATCCAGTCTCTTCTGAAATATCTTCAAAAATATGAGAATTTTTCACTAAAATAAGATTTAGTGACCCGTACCATCCTACAGGTTCAGATTACAGCTATGGCACATAAAGCATTTTTGTAGAACTTTTGATTACGAGTAAATCCCTTTTTGAAACAATCCAATAGCATAAAATTCGGCTGAGATATAGATATTAAAAAAAAAATCAAAGTTTACGTGTATTTTAAATGGGAAATCTTTATACTTGTAACAAAAATAACTATGTCAAAATTTATTTATTCAAAAACTACCGAAAACCGATTTTTTTTTATTTTTGATAGGTATTTACTGTTTAAAACACCCTTTTTCTAATGATTTTAATAAAAAATCGATGTATATTTTGTTTGTGGATATTTTGTCTGCGAATAAATATTCAAAATTGTCACAAATATTTTGTATTTGGATCAAATGTTGAAATACCAAGATAATATCACTGGCCGACAGCCATTTTGGTGTAGGGTAGACAAAAACTTTTTTAGGGTAATTTGAGTACGCCGAATCCAAAAATTCAATGCTCAATCACCTCTTGTTTTTGCGATGTAGACAAAAAACCATTTTTTTATATGCGCACATTCAAATGCTTAAATATATTTTTTTTAACTTCTAATTTAAGCAAGGATAGTTGCTATGTTGCTATGGGTCTTTATTAAACTGTACAAAAAATACCATATACATTGATAATGGTATTCTCTTTAAAAATCTTGCTTTCATCGAAAGAAAATCGATTTTTTAGCCAAAATTCGGATATTTTTAAAATTCAAAGTGATACAACACGATCAATTTTGCCCAACTAAAAAAAAAATAGTTTTTTTTCGAAATATCTAGTGTTTTTCAAAAAATTACTATACTTAACATATAACATTAGAGGGTATGCGTACTAGGATGGTTCGAAATATGAATATTTTTAAAATTGAAAACGCCTGTATATAGAACACAAAATAAATATTTTGGTGAAAACCATTTTTCGTAGTTGAGTCTACTTCACTGAGACAGGGCTCGTATATATAGCAGTTTTCTGATAGTTTCTGATAGATTCAGATAAATAACCACAATCGCAAACGTTTATCTATGCCAGATAGTTTTAGAAAAGTTTTTTTTAAAAGAATAATTTGCAATTTTTTTTGAAATATATGTTTTAAAATGTATATTTATTCAAAGACACAATGCGTCATGTTAAAGAGTTAAAATGAAAAAGAGTTAATTTTACTTACAAATCTCCCACAGCCGTTTTAATAGTTCCAGTAACACAATGAGCAGCAGTTAAGACGTATCTTGATGAAATAAGGGCTCCTCCGCAAGAAGATTTTAATGGCCCCCGTCTATTTTTACGGTATTGCAATAAAGCCATCCAGGGATATTCTTCTAGACCCGTTTTTTCACCTCCAAGGATTTTATTGTCAGACTATTAAACAAGCATAAAAAAGAAATTACTTACGAAGGATAAAATCAAGAAAAGTAAATACGTTAAAGTTTTGTTCGTATTTGAAATTGGATGAGGAATTCAAAAAGAGGAAACCATAAAACAAAATTAAAAATATTACTTAATATTATTAATGTAAAATATCGATTACAAGAACAGTTTTAATAAAATTTGGTTTGGTTTTTAAACCCAGTGAGCATTTTCTTGAGGCATTTGGGGAAAACTTTCAAAGTTTTTATTATTAAAAACACGTTTTTTTGTAATCATGGGGTTGTCGTATTTGGATGACATAGTAGTTATTTTTGTTGTACCGGATTGGTAATGGTTGGTAGTGGTTAGTACTGAGAATCGCAAACAGAGAGGCGAATGTGACATTCCTGTGCAATGTTTCCAGGTCTCATTCTTTTGCATGAGATCTCAAGTTTTTCTAATTAATATCATGTTATCATGTTTTATTTACAAATCTTATTTTCACAAATTGTGGCAAATTGAATGTGTCTCCGCTTTAAAAAATTATAAAATTTATGATGGTATTATAATATTTTTACGATTTATTAGTCAGTTATTTTCAAATTTTTCAATTCATAAAAATCTTGTTCAATAAGATTAATACAATAATAAATTAAATAATTTTACCACCTAAACGTTGCCTTTTAGTACGTAGCTAATTTAAAAATTGTCTTACCTAAAAAATAAAAAAAACTCCCTTTTTAGATACTTATGTACCTATTTATTTATTGTGCGATTTTAACCGGATTTGTTTTAAAGTATAGATCTTGATAAACTGTACTACTATGTCAGTTTTTAAGAGTACAATTTTAAAAACAATTGGTTAAAATCGCACAATAAATAAAGATTTAACAAGGGTGTGTTGTAAACAAATGGGTCACAATTTATGCACCTTAAAAAACATTAAATTCGTATGTAGGTACGAAATTATATAAATAAATAATTATTAAAAAACAAAACAAATACATTTTTATTTTAACCTTTAACTGTATGCGACTCGTGTGTACACAATTCCTATATTGTGTACTTTATACACAATTCCTCTATGGTAGGGGTTCCTAAAAATTTTCCGGTGCATTTACAGGTTTAATTCTCTTTTACGCCCCTCAGTTGTAAAATTGAATTCGACAAAAAGTATAAATATCGGCTAACCTGGGCTCCAGCCGTATACGGCGCCCCATCTGCAACGTTTTAGAAAAAATTCCACAATTCCATTTTAGGAATAAAGTGATCACTGGGCAAGAAGTTTAGTTTATGGTTTAAAAGTTTTGACTTAAATATTTAAGACCATGAAATGGTAATTTTTTAAATTAGTTATAAAACGTTAAACGATTTTGATTAATGTAAAATGTTTTATCAAAATAATTATTTATTTATTTTACTCTGTTTGGTGACTTGGATCCTTAGATCACCATATTTTACTGCCCCTGTTTTTTTATTGTGGGGGTTTATATGTTTTTCAAGTCTCCATAGGTTTTCCAACATTTCGCTGATGTTTCTTAAACACTTTACTCATTACTTTCTCTATAGGTCTATTTTAGTCAATTTGAAAAGCAAATCCATGTTTTTATAGGTCTCTTTTATCTGCGGCATAATACACAGCGTTATTAATCTATGCACCCCAGTCAATTTTCTTTCCCTGTTAACGCTTCCACCTTAGCTGTAAAGAGTTCTCTTCTTTTTGGCTGTGTAATTCACTTCATCCTTTTCAAATTCATGGATTATATTGTCATCAGTACTATAATTTTTAGGTATAATGGCAAGCAAATTTTGAAGAAACCCTGTCCACCATCAACCATAACTTATACAGCTAAATCTCCAGTTTTATTTCTTCGTTTAATAACCTCATTTAATATCTCTTCAGCAACACACCATACAACCGGCTTTTTTGTTTTGTTGTTTAACGCGTTTTTTCCTTTTATTTTAAACTTAAATTCATTAATTTTGTAGAGAGGGTCTAAAGCCTTAGATCTAGTGGACAAGTTCTTTTTGTAGCGTAAAGCTACGGACTTACGCCCAGCAGAGCAGCGTATAAAATTTGTAAGTAATTTAATCTGATTAGTAGAAGTTCCAGGAGCTACTTGGTACAGACCTTCATATAAAAGGTTTACGTCTTTTTTTACCTTAGAATTAAAATTAATCGTTATATTTTGCCAAATTTGGTTTTTACCGCTGAAATGTTCTGCTTAACAATTTTGTCGCTTATGAGTGATGTGATGACTTGCTCTTTTTGCGTATCTGCATTTTGACGTATTTTTCTTTCTGTGCAATAATGCCTTAAACCTTTATCAATTTTGACCAAGCATCTGTCGCAGAATTCAATATTGCCCTTATGTTTTTTAAGAATACTTTTGGCTCCCAAAAATTTGGTCGTGGTAGAACTATTTCTTGAGGCGTTAAGCCCATTGTATTTATTAATTATTTGATTCGCGTTTCGAGAGTGTCCTCGGCCCTTCAAATTGCTGTGTCCCTTGAACCTCGCAGTTAAGCAAATTTAACAATTGCACTCTTCATTGTTTGGAGTGGCTTTTGGTAAACGTAACTTTTTAAAATTTGGCATGATCGGTAAAGGTCATTTCTCTCTTGATCTGTGAAGGCAAGGCGACAAGTTTTGCAGTAACGTTTGCATTCTTTTATTAATTAGAAATTTTGCAGGATTACTTTTTCCGAAAATAATCTTTCTTCGCAAGAATTGGCTATTTTATCCAATGAGGATCTGGTGCGATTTTGTTTTTATTTGATCTTAATTAACTCCTTTAATATTTAATGTCTTCAAAGATCCAAAGCCCGCTTTTGGTGTCATTCAACCTTTTTTTGGTTCAGGCCCACTGTGAAAAGAAATATTTACAATTTTTATTTAAATAATGTAGTTTATTTTAAAATTTAATCTTATATCTAATTTGCAGAATTCCCACCAATTTAAGAGGATTTATTTTCATGCAACATGCCAAGTTAAACTTAGCGCGCTAAGTTTAACTTATGTTGCATCAAAATAAATCCTCCTAAATTCGTAGGAATTTTGCTACTTAAATATAAGATTAAATTTAAAATAAATTACATTATTTATACAAAAATTGTAAATATTTCTTAGTGTAAAAGGGGTTGTGCAATGGCTGTACCGACTAAATTAATAAAACCAATACGATACCAAGGGTAAGCAATTGGGTAAGGTTAATAACCTTACCTTTCCATAACCTTGTACCTTACCAAAGTTAAGTTTAAAGTTATAGTTTTTTTTCGTCGCGTTAGAAATAGAGTCAAATTTTCAATTTAACAGGAATCTGGTGTTTTTTTGACATAATTAATAAGTGGAAATACCACTTTTCTATGACGACGGTTTGTTTGTATCGTAAACCAAAAACATATTTTTTTATTTTGCACAAAACTTGTTAAAATGAATTCTTTTATTGATATTTTAAAAAAAGAAACACAGTAAAAAGTAAAAATAATTATTACTATTGTAATATAGTTTTTTCAACGCAGGCTTATTTATCAAAATCAGTTACCATCCTCTTCTCTTTATGTATTCCCTAAGAAATACCTTAATTTTCCTATCCATGATATTCCAGTGACCGGTAAACTGGGGCAGAATGTCCTAAGGGAGTTTCAAAGAAAGATATCAAATGACATGGATTATAAGTAATATATTTCTTGATGATTTTGTGTCTATTTTATGGTTGTATAAAGTGCCCAAATGTATTTATACAAATAATATGCATAAAATATGAGGAAACAGCATAAATAATGCTATTCAATTTTCTGATTTATTTCACCAGACATTAGTATTGGTATCCTAAGTTATAATTTTGTTAATGTGGATGGTAAAGCAGCGGCTTGGCAGGTAGCCCAGCTAATTATTAGGAATATTAAAAACCTTACTGACTCAAATACACGTGCAAGGTTTCAAAATTTTCCACACTCAGAAAAATATCATGTCATGAAATTATATTAATTTAAATAATCGGTTAAATTTGATTCAAATAGAAAAATTTGTAGTTTTATATTCATTTACCAACAATTTTACAATACTTTTAAACACTTTTAAAGTGTACCCTCTTTAAAATATATATATACAGAAAGAAATCTATTTATTTCATTGCCTTTCTCAACGTTGCTTCAAAAAGTTATGTATTATACAATTGTTATACACCTATTAATTTAATAGGACACACCAATGACCCCAAAACATATTTGAATCCCTTTGAATTATTATCGTTTTGAATGATTCTACAACATTTTTTCTCTCAGTGCACTCCCTCTCCCTTAAATTATATGAAAGTCCATAGAGACTGGTTTACGTTGAAAATGCATTTTAAAAACAGCAAAGGCATGCTTGAATCGGACCAAAACTTATTATAATCGATTAAGAATCTTGTTTTTTTTAAATACAACTTTATTTACTCACGAAGTTGTAAAAAGGACCTCACAGATCGGAGGGTTAAAGTAACGCTGGCCTTAGTTTATATTAAAAACGTAATGTTAGGCTTCAAATATATTTATATATATATATTTATAAATGACTTGGCTTGGATTTATTTACGTGTTTTATTTTTGGCCAAAAAGATTTAACAATTAAATTAGTCAGTTATACGCATGTACATGCCCACCCTGTAATCATCATCACTGCAAGTTTCGCACAAAACAAGTTAGGGGATCCATTTTGCGAATGATAGTATGGAATAAATATAATTATGTTCCGCAAGTTTAAAAATAAAACAACAAAATTGATTATCAATAAATTAACAAATATAATACTTACCGCATGCAATAAAGCAAAAATAACAGATTTGATCAGAATAAATTAGGAAGATAAAACATAAATAATTTAAAAGAGTTTTTTTAATAGAATGGCCTAATTATCATCAGCCTAAATAATGTTTTATAAATTCACAGTTTTATCGTACTATAAATTATGAATATTTTCATGTCTTAAATTTACCTGTATTCCACAAATGGATCTGTCCGGTAATATACTGTTTCTATTGTTATTATTAATAGCCGAGGAAGATGTTGATGATAACGGCTGAAACGACAATCTACTTTCGTAATTTGCAACGCTTCCGCAACATACTAAGGCAGTCCTGTCGTATCCACAATATGAATCCTTAAGAAACTGAATTTGCCTTTGGTTTTTGGTCAGCACAGCATCATACAGGATCTCGCAGGAGTTAATTCTTTGGCAGATGCCATTTTCGCCATTAGGAGTTTTACAGCTATCTCCGATATCTAAAATTAAACTATGTAATGAAGGTTGGTAATGTTCATGGAGGTATCAAAGGTTTCGACTAAAAGGGGGGGGTAATTTTAATTAAAATGGCGAATTTTTCCAAGATTTGGCCGACTTGACGCTGACATCACTCAAAAATGCAAATTTATAAGTCAAAATTCAGGAACAAATAACGAAATTTTACAAAAAAGAACATGAAGATAACGATTCGAAATTGTAATTTTTATTTTTGCAAATTTTAAAATATACATATATGTAATTTAATTTACATACTATAGTATGTAAATTAAATTATATATGTAGATTGTACATATATAACCTGTATATTTATAATAATTGTTTTGTTGTCAAAACAAATACTCGTTATCTTAAAAATTTATAGGTAGGGCATAATAATTATTATTCTTGCATAAAATAGTATTTAATAAATTAATTTGGAACTTTTTTAAATTGATAGTATTTAATTTATATAGGGTGTCATACCACACGAAATGGAGGTTATTTAAGTACTAACTCAAAAAATACAATTTTTTATGAGTAGGAAATGAATTCAATTGAATTTATTCTAATTATAATATTGAACAATCTTTTATTGTCGTTTAAAATAATGGTAGTCATCAGTGGCGTCGCTAGCCTCGACGGGGCCCCGTATCAAAAATCTGGTAGGGGCCCTTATACGGGAAAAGCTGCTGGCAAATTTTTTTCTATGATTTTTTTGCATTTACCAATTTTTAATAAATTATTAAATAATATATGCATACATAGCTTTTTATGTGCCTGTGGGCAAATTTTAAAATTTGGTTTGGTTTTAGACATTTACCGTTCTTCAACATCTTTTTTCAAGATTTCTATTTTAAAATAAAGGCAAGTCATTTGAAATAATTGTAACGCTAATAATTATTTCTTATTTACTAATAATATAACCTATGATAACAATAACACGCAAAGCAGACTCAGTATGCGGCGCAAGCACAGAACAATATGCGCAGACTGCGCCGCAGACAACGGAAAGGTGAGAGCAGAAACAATTCGTATGAGTTCACGGCCTCGTTGGAACAGGAGTGTATTCAGGAAAATTGTAATTTAATAAATCGAAGTATAAACAATTAAATAATAATATTATTTATTTATTTATTTATTTAATTTCATGCCTCAATGTGGGTAATATGTTTTTTGCTTACGCATGTCGAAGCCAATCGGGGGCCCCGTATGATTGATAAGGCTGATACCGCGGTAGCTACGCCCCTGGTAGTCATAACATAAGTATAAGTATGAGTTTTGATTTTTTGACACAGGTCAACCTCGGCTGCCTAATTCGAATTTCCTTAACAACTACTTTTATGAGACATGTGTTATAAAATACAAATTTTACCGTGTTATTTATTATTATAGACGTCTAAATATTATAGTTTAAAATTATTGTTAAACAAATTGGACAAAAAAATTAAAACTTTGACAAAAATTTGGAATGTGGTAAAATAAATGAAAAAAAATTCAAATTTTTGTATATTATTTCACTATAAGTTACTAAAAGGCAATCCAATATAAAATTTTTGACTTATTTGTCCAATTTTTAACGATTTAAATTTATTTTAATATGTCTGCTCTATTAGAATTAAAAAAAATGGTTTATAAATTTTAATATCATTTTTAATTAAAACAATTGAAATAAGCCATTTTAAATCTTTACAATTTAATTACTCTAAACTACTGATTTTGAGTTACGTTCATATTTTACTGGTGCGAAATAATAAAAAATATGTAAATTATTATTCGTATAAGATAAAAGTGTGCAAAGCACGTGTTAAATAGTTTATATAAATTTGAACAAATAAAACACCAAGGTACGAATGGGCAAATGTGCATTGATAAATTAAATGTAGTTTATCAGTTTAATATTTTTTACACCTACTTACATACAATTATATTTTTCATATATTTAAGTATTACACCACTAAGAATGTATAACACAATTATTTAGCTGAAAAGGTTTATAATAATCCATCTTATTTGGTGGTAATTTTAATATTAATATTATTACTGTTATTATTATTGTTATTATTAATGTGGCACTGTTATTTTATTGAATGAATTTACATATTACCGAAATAACAACATTTGTTCTTTATTTATCATTTTTCAAGTTAAGCGAGTTCAAGAGAAATAATGTCGGAGGTCAAAATTTAAAATTTAAATTAAAAACAAGTTAACATTTTGAAATTAGCAATAAACATATCCACTACTAATTTGTGGTTTATAAAGTTATATTTTTTTGTTACAGTGTGACCTATTTGTTTGCGACTTACTCCTGTAAAATCTTTATGTATTGTGCGATTTTGTGTAGGTCTTAATAAACTGTGTTTTTGGAGCAAAAAAACACCACATTTTTACAAAATACAAGGATTACTATCTCAGATTTTGAAAGCAATATTAGCGATCTTTTAAAAAAAACCAATCACGGCACTGAAACCCCTCAAAACTACCCTATTAATAAATTTTATGAAAAAAAATTAAGTTGGAACGATTTTGTAGCCAAATTAAAAATGAACAATAATTACTAATTACAAAAATTTATTCTGTCAGTTATCCATGAAAAAAACATTGAAAGGAAATCAAGAAGCCTCAGAATACCAAAATTTTTATTGAAAATAAATTACTATAGTGACATTATGTCAATATGTCTTGTGAAATAAGTAAAAATGGCGTACTCAGACAGAGAAAGACAAACTATTTCAAATAATTTAAATATTTCAGATGTCAAATGTTAAAAAAATTAAAATGGCTTTAAATTCTTCTTTATGTTCGTCGTATACTAGTATAGTCGTATACTCGTTTTATAGACACTCGTTTTTATTAAACACTGGCTTGCAAGCTTCGCTCGTGCCTAATAAAATTTGTAAATAAAATTGCATTTATAAAACTTGGTACATAATATACTATTATCTACTCCTACGTTGACAGGCTGTGATTTTGTGGCATTTTAGTCACGGGCTAGCTTTATTATAAATTGGGGGAAAGTGAGGTTAAATCCGTTGACATTCGACTGATGTCAAATGTTTGGCTTTTGGCTTCTTTGTTTTCGTCGTAGATAAAATATAGTATGCATGTATCGATTTACACATACAAATTTGACATTTTGTAATACTGATCCCAAGTTAGAAATTGTTACGCGATTTACTTTATTTTTTAAATGGCGCTCTATACAAATAGTTAATTTAAATTATTTTTAGATAATAATAAGTATTGTCGTAGAAAAAGTCTAGTATGAAACTCGTTTATAAACTTCTCTAGACACTCGCTTGCAAGCTTCGCTTGTGCCTAATAAAACTCGTAACTAAAATGGCATTTACAAAACCTAATATGCTCTTATCTACTTCTACATTGACGAGCTGTGACTTTTTGGCGTTTTAGTAATGGGTTGAAGTTGGCAATAGTTGCTTTTGGGCATTTTAGTCAAGGGGCTGATTTATAAATTAGAGAAAAGTGAGGTTAAATCCGTTAAAAGTTGACAGATGTCAAATGTTTAACAAATAAAATTGGCTTTAAATTCTTTTTTGTGTTAGTCGTACATAAAGTATAGTTTGACACTTGTTTTATAAACTTCTCTAGATACTCGTTTTTATTAAAAACTCGCAAGCTGCGTTTGTGCCTAATAAAACTCTTAACTAAAATGGCATTTTTCAAACTTGATACATAATATAGGTACTTACTATTACCTAAATATAAATTAAAACATTAAATGTTTATGTACTAAATTTGTGAACTGTCTTAATAGTATATATATTTTATATAAGCACGAGCGAGCTAGCGAGCGAGTCTTAATTAAAGTGTTTAGAAAAGTTTATAAACGAGTTGCATACTGGACTTTTTCTACGACAAATACATTTTATTATCTAAAAATAATTTAAATTAAATATTTGTATAGAGCGCCATTTAAAAAATAAAGTAAAACCTTAGATCATATGATCTATGATCATATGATCTAAGAGCAAAACGCGTAACAATTTCTAACTTGGGATCTGTATTACCGTCGCGCCAGTCAAAATGTCAAATTTGTATGTGTAAATCGAAACTTATCCCATAAAAATGGTCTAACATTCGGTTAAATAATAATAAAGAAGCAGTTTTTCACATAGAAAGTGAAGAGAATGTTTTATGAGTAATTCACAGTCTCCATCCAAAAATTTTAATATTTACAGTTAAATCTAGTTTACTGCCGGCAAAATCAAAAGGTCAGTACAAACTTGCATATAAAATTTTCAAATAGGTATTGAGAAACTATTTTTTCTACTCCTATTACGGAATTTGACCGTTCTAATATCATCGGATGACAGAATAAACACTCGTGGCGACATCTCTGTTTTTAATATCTAACAAATTTTAGACCGATCCAACCTCACTTTCTTTCCATTAAATTATTTTTCTATGGTACTTTTTGAAAACGTAGAAAAAGTATAGTCTGAAACACATTTGTAATTGCATATTCAGCTCTCGTAAAACCGTCGAACTCGCCTTCGTCTCGTGTGACAAACGAGCGGAATATGCTGTATTCCAAACTTCTTACAGAATATACTATTATAATTTTTATTTTTGAATTAAGACAATAAAATAATTTTTCTACTCCTATTACGGAATTTGACCGTTCTAATATAACTTTTATCTATGGAATGACATATATTCCGTAAAGTGTTACAGAATGAAATATTCTATCATCGGATGACAGAATAAACACTCGTGGCGATATCTCTGTTTTTATTATCTAACCAATTTCAGACCGATCCAACCTCACTTTCTTCCAATTATTTTTCTATGGTATTTTTTGAAAACGTAGAAAAAGTATAGTCTGAAACACGTTTGGAATTGCATATTCCGCTCTCGTGAAACCGTCAAACTCGCCTTCGGGTCGTGTGGCAAACTCTTCACTCGAGCGGAATATGCTGTATTCCAAACTTGTTACAAAATATACTATTCCACATTAATATTTCACAAGAGTGGCACTTTATTTTAACAATTGTTTGACATTTGACAACTGTCAACTAACTTAAAACTAACTTTAGCCCGTGACTAAAACGCCAAAAAGTCACAACTTGTTAATGAAAGATCACTTAGTGTCATGAAAACATATACGATAATGGGAGCAGAAAAAAATTATTATTATATTTTTTAAATATTTTTAGCTTTAAGTTAAGTTTCCTTTATATTTGTCTTTCTTAACGCATGTTAATGTTTTATGGAAATTAATATATTATTATTATTAATTAGGTATACTAACAAATATTTAAATATCATAGTATAAAATATATATGACGATGAAACTGTAAACTTGAAATGCCTTTTGTAATTTAATAACATAACATAACAAAATTACTTTTGAACAAAAAAAATTAACACCTTGAGTTTTTTGTCTATCATATATTGTATTTATAAACAACACGTACCTGCCCTGCCAATATTTATATAAGTAAATGCAAAAATAACACTAAAACTCCACATAACTGCACTAATAGCTCTGCCACTGTTGACTGCCTTGACTAAAACGAGCAACACCAAGGAGACCCGTTTAATATTTTTCTTTATTTTTCTGGTATTCCCGATTTTATTTATTATTGCTTAAAGAATATTTAAAACTTAATAATTAAGGTAATATGGCGAAGCACTTTCTATTTTATTAAGATTGCGTATCATTTGATATGGACGACCTTTTAGATTGTTTTGAATATATAGATAGATACTATATTTTATACGCCGAATACAACTGTCGTCATAACCTGGGACTAAAGACAAATATTATTGTGATCAGTAATACAAAATTAATTAAATAGACATTTTAAGTGGTCAAAAAAATGAGATATTTTTTCTATGGTATAGTATTGTAATCAATTTTTTTCTAATTAAATGCTACTTATTACTAAGACCGGATTTTGAGCAAAACATCTATTATCAATTTGGATACAACGTTTAAAATTTTCACTAAAATGTTACATTTTTTAAATTACTTTTACCATACCTACGCTAAAACCGTACCTTGATATTAGATATGAAACGGAAAATTGTTTGTCGAAATATCGGATATCCGGCGGTTAAAAATATTATAAATTTAATTATTAACACATTATAGGGTGTATCCAATAATTTTTAAATAATTCTTTTTAAAATATATAAAATTAAATTATAAAAATTATAGGGTTAATTTTACGTAGGGAGGAGAAAGTCTTACCAAATATTACCGGGAGAGTAAGGGTTTATGTTATGTAACTAATTGATGCCCCTAACAAATTGCGGTTGATTTTATGAATTATCGTAGTTTTTCGAATATATTGTATAGGGCCGGATATTAACTTACTATCCGGTATACAGACTAGACTAATAAGTAATTAATTAATTTTTATTTATTCGATTATCGGAAAAATAATTATTTTGTATTACCTATCTATGTATATATCCGGACTATAGACTAATAAGTTATTAATTTTTATTCATTCGATTATCGGAAATTAATTGGATGAACAGCAACAGCCCAACATCTGAACGAAATATGCTAAACTTATGTTTCAAATAAAAAAAATTGTTAAAGATACAAAAAGTTATAAAAAACTAAAACCCTAGCGGTTTCATGCTTACAGTGAATTTACGGTCGATTTATATATATATATATATATATATATATATATATATAGATTGATAAAGGGTACATTGTCACCTCCAAAACGGAGACCCTTCATACGTTGTGACCTCATATATGACGCTGTGACCTCCAAATTCGGAGGTCACAGTGTTTAACCATATTTTTGACATTGGGGGAGTGTCAGTAATCAATCTGTGCAAAAATATTTCGGAGGTCACTTTGACCCCCCAGTCTCTTAAAAAGGAACTTTTAGTTCCACCATATATGAATTGGCGCTAGTGTCGCTTTTTAATCAGATTCAGCCACTCCAAAGTTACCTCCGTCATGTATACGTATATTTGTTACCTCCGAAATTTGGCAACCTTGCAATATCTCGCGCAGTCATAGATGTTCAGACTTGATGATCTTTAATACTTCTTATATGTTATTTGTTACGCAGTTTCGCTTTTGTTCTAACATCTTAAGTGTAAAATAACGATTTAAGTTAAAAATATATCTTCCAGGACTTAATTAATAATCCAGAGAGTCGGTTTTCAAGGTAAGTAAATTTTTAGTACATAATTAGGTAAATGCATTATGTTTATAGAAATGGATATTGTAAAATAATTCTTTTAGATTTAGACGATACTAGTAATGATGAAATCATTACCAAAAAAGATAAAGAATTTAAACAAAAAAAGTACAAATTGATTTTAACAAATAAAATGTCCCTTGCGGCCTTGAGTTTAGGGTGAATTCACCGTTTGCGTGAGTTCACCGTGAATTCACCGTTTATGTGCAGTGAATATACCGTCCATTTGTGACATTTGTAGACGGTAATTAAACGGTGAACTCACGCTGTTTTTGCGATAAATTCACGGTGATTTCACGGTTAATTCACGGTGATTTCACGGTAAATTCACGGTGAACTCAAGTTTGCAAAATCACCGCAAATTCACTGTCAAAGTACCGTAAATTTATCGTGAATTCACCGTAAAAGCGCTGTGAGTTTACTGTGAAAACACCGTAAATTGACTGTGAAAACACCGCAAATTCACGGTAATCTCATCGTAAATTACTGTACAGTACCACGTGGTAATGTAAATAATAAATTATTTTAATTGTTTGTAAATAGTTGTTTACTTTTTAATAAATAGTAATTTTGTTGCTAATAGACGGTATTAATAATTAAATATAAAATTAATAATAAATATTAAGATTTTTATTTATTTATAAACATTATTAAATAAATAATTTGTTTATACTTAAATATTGATGAAGCGCATTTATTTTACAAAAACTAAATTCACAAGTTCAACAGTAAAATTTAAAGGGTTTATAAATTTACCTGCCTACGACGACATTGAAAAGCCAAGTCCGTAGTGGTTCCATTTATAAAAGGAGGGATAGTATAATCTCCGTTGCGGCCTTGAGTTCACGGTTTATTCACCGTGAATTCACTGTGAATAACATTGAAACAAAATTAAACTTATAATAAGTATACCATGTTATACTATTAGTTTAATTTTATTTCAATGTTTTTTTCATGTATAACTTGACAAAATAAATTTTTGTAGTTATTATTATTTCTCTATATTTTTCTATTTACATTTTTAATATAATTTAGTATAAGGTCATTTTGAGGGGTGGTGAATCCAGTGCCGTGCTTAGATTTTGTTTAAAAAATCGCTAATATGAATTCTTAAAAATTAACCCTTAAAAACTGACAGTAGGCCTTGTATTTAGTAAAAATATGGCGTTTTTGCTTCAAAAATACAGTTTATCAAGATTTTACCTTTAAAACAAATCTGGTAAAAATCGCACGATAAATAAAGATTTTACAGGGGTTATGTAATAAAACATTTTTTTTTGCCATTATACCTGCAAGACCTATCATATACCAATACGTTCTTTTTTAAATCAAATAAATTATTTATTTCAAAGTACTTAATTTTTATTATTTTTAATATTTTGTCTTTTATAACAAAAATAATAATAATTATTAATATTACTAAATAATGTATGGCACATATACCATGAAGCAGTGGACAAAATAAATCTGATATATATCCCAGATACTAAAGATACTTTGCGACCTCCGAAAATCCGGCAACACTGTCGGAGGATACAAGGCTGTTTGTTTCTCCGAAATTATATATATATTCGGAGGTGACTTTGTATCTTGAGTATCTCCAGTTTGCGTAAAAAAATTGACATTTTAAAAAATTAAAAATTGCTTCCCCTCTTGTGGTGGCGTTAATATTTAAGGCTCCCCCCCGCAATATATGCAATCAAAATAAAAATCGTCCATTCCGCAGACCCGGAGGAGAGGTGGCCCTCTCAACTTAACGGAGGTCACAGCTGACCACTTATCTATATATATATATATATATATATATATTTATAAATATTAACCTTGATACCCATAGGATATTATACATATTGTAAATGTGAACAGAAAAATCAGATAATATCCCTTTTTCCATAAGATATGCTTCATTACTGTATAATAATGACATTCAAATGATTTTATTTTTTACAATAAAAAATTACAAAAAAACTAAATGTTTGAACAGAGTATTAAGTTAATATTGGTATTCATGTTCTTAAAGCATTTATTTTGTCTTTTGATTATCACAATAACTTGTGATGCAAAGGTAATTTTACTTTAATTTTTACGATTTTTATTAATATTAAATTTATGAAAAACTATATTTTAGATTAAAAAAGTTGCAATCATTGAGTCTGAAAACTCAATCTTTTGTTGGTGTGACCCCAAGTATGGAAGCCTGGCAGTGAATTTAAAAAAAAATTAATGGGGTACCACGTATGAATTTCAGCCTGAACATAAATAAGGATTGGCCTGGAAAACCTTTTGTTGAAAGTATCACCTATAAAAATTTATTTTTAAATATTAGTTATCGGGATATGTTTACCTATTTTAAAAAATCCAAATTCGACCTAATAATTGCTCCAGCACCTCAGGTTTTTGAGAAATCCTAAACCAAAAGTGTTTTCTTTTAGATAATGAATTTCAAGTATGGATTTATGATGAATTATTTCGTGATGTACCTACACAGTAAAAAAATTTGCCCGTGTAAATTTTTTAGTGTAGGGGTAAAAATAATAGAGTTGATTTGTAAGTGTAAAGCTAAGAACCCACTTGGCCCACGCCACGCTACGCCATGCTACTCGACGTCGACTGACGTGGGTTCACGTTTTCGAGTCACCGTACACATTAGTAATACGCTACGCCACGTCTTGTGACAAAAATAAAATAAAATTGATATATAAAATTATGAAATAATAATAAAATTGCTTTATATACTTATTAGTATTAGTATTGTTCGTTTTGGTAAAGAAAATGGAGTGTGCAAGTTCTTCATCATCTTCCCATTCCCATTCCCATTCTTCATCTGAAGAATGGGAATGTGAACTAGAGGAGTGTGCTGTTGCTATTATTATAAATAAAAAACAAAATTTCTTTAATGTTGATTGTACAGGAACTCATATGAACGCACTTTTTCAATAATTTGTTCATCCATGTTTAAAAACTGTTTACAGAACATGCGCACTCCGTGTGTAGGTGCATGGAGGGAGACAACACGCGTCCACACGTCTCTTCGAAATTCAAAACAATTTGATTTTCGAAACGTCGTTCGACGTCAGGTGGCATGGTGTAGGGTGGCATGGGACGAGTGAGTACGTATTGCATTGAAACCTGTGTTAAATTTCTGCATAACAAAACGTCGCGTAGCGTAGCGTAGCATAGGGTGGCGTGGCGTAGGCCAAATGGGTTTCCAGCATAAAAGTTACACTACAAAATACACTAGGTAGCATTTAGTGCGTATTAACTTTATTAAACACATTTAAAGAATATGAACATTATTCATTGGTACATTCACACTATTTACTATTAAAATAAATCAAAAGGGTATAAAAACTTAATGCGAGTGTTTATTACCTCTTAATGTGTTAAATAATGACAAAATGTACACTACAGTGCATGCCAATTTCTTTGTCTGTTATGATGTTAATAAGAGCTCTTTTTTCTTTACACTACTAGTGCACATTGTATCACAATTAAAGTTAA